GTAGCCCCGCCCCACCACCTAGCTACACCCACCTCATAGCCCCACCCCCTATCGTAGCCCAGCCCCACAGCATAACCCCATCCACAGCATAGCCCTGTCCCACCGTTTAGCCACACCTACAGCATAGCTCCATCCACAGTGTAGCCTCGCCCCACCACCTAGCCACACCCACATCATAGCCCACCCCATATTATAACCCCACCCACAGCATAGCCCTGTCCCTCAATTTAGCCACACCCACAGCATAGCCCCGCCCACAGCAGAAACTGCCCCACCACCTAGCCACATCCACATCATAACCCCACCCCATATCATAGCCCCGCCCCACAGCATAACTCCACCCACAACATAGCCCTGTCCCACAGTTTAGCCACACCCACAGTGCAGCCCCGCCCACAGCATAGCCCCGCCCCAGGGCGTGGCAGGAGGCGGGCTTCCCTGTGGGTGTGTCCAATCAGATCCTGGAGAGCTGGCGGGAGGACCTGGATCCTGCCTCTGTTGGCTGAACAAATATAGTGTCTTGAGAGAATGTCCCTTCCAAGTTCCAATGACATGCATGGTCCCCAACATCCCTGGGTGCCAGCCCCAGCAACCCCAGGCCCAGCAGCAGCCGGAGACATAGTCACAGAGATGCTGGGGCACTTGACAGTCTGCAGGAGGTGGCCCTGCCGGTGGACAAGGGACCTCGCAGGGACAGGCCTTGAGGCTTGGCTAGGTGGCCTGTTAGACCCAAGAGACAGCCCTGGCTGCCTCGGACAGACTCTCAAGGTGGGCACACGGATGTGCTAGTTTTATTTGACTGAACTGGGAGGAAGCCCCCAGATGAGGAGCAGAGCCCCTGCTGAACCCCCAGGACACATGACCCAGAAACCCCGTGGGACAGATCCCAGCTCCAGGGGGACATTCCGGCTGACAGGTCCTGCCTCCCCACCGGCAGTGCCGTGGCGCCCGCCTGTCATCCCAACGACTTGGGAGGCTGAGGCAGGAGGATCGCAAATTGGAGGCCAGCCTCTATAACTTAGCAGGGCCCTGTCCCCTACCCTGCCCCCTTCTCAAAAAAGGTGGGGGGTGGGGAGTGAAAGCCAGATGCTCCAGGCACAGGGAGCTGGCCCCTAAGGACACTGCCCACTCCTGTCCCCTGTGTCCACTCCCCACCCCCACCACCTGCCACTTCTTCTGATGACGTCGCCCTGGCCCCCTGCGTCTCCTCTGATTGCAGATTTACGAAGGTGCCTACCACGTCCTCCACAAAGAGCTTCCGGAAGTGACCAACTCCGTCTTCCACGAAATAAACATGTGGGTCTCCCAAAGGATAACCATGGCTGTCCCCAGAGGGGTCCCCAGAGGGTCCCCGCCCTGAGTGCACTGGCCAAGGGACCAGCTCATGGCCTGGGGGAAGCGGGCAGAGGGAGAACAGAGCTGGCTGCTTCCGAGTGGCTTAAAAACCAACCCACCGCCAAACTGGAGGGACCCCTGGCGCAGTTAACTTTAAAAAAAATAAATTTATGTCATATATAAGGCTATAAGGCACTGGAACTACCCTAAAGGGTAGACACTATGCAAAAATATATATATATATAATAATAATAGTAATAATGAGAAAGAGAAGGGTGACAGGCAATTCCCACAGAGGGACTCTATTAAATTTTTTTTTTCTTAAATAAGCAGGGCCCCGCGTGGTGGCGCACGCCTATAATCCTAGCCACTCCGGAGGCTGAGGCAGGAGGATCGCAAGGTGGAGGCCAGCCTCAGCCACTTAGCAAGGCCCTAAGCGACTCAGCGAGACTTTGTCTCTAGATAAAATATAAAAAGGGCTGGGGACAGGGCTCAGGGGTTAAGTGCCCCTGGGTTCAATCCCTGGGACC